ATCTGCCTTGACCAGTTGGGGAAGGTGACCTTACTAAAACACTGTCCTTGTTATGGAGCAGTTAGCATTATTATTATGGAGCACTGTTTTCTCTACAGTTAGTACCAATTTACATAAAGTTCTTTCACCTCTTGGAAATGATCCAGAAAATAAAATCCAGGAATCACAAAGCAATACTTTACTTTTTCTAAGTCTACTAAAGAATGAATTGATAATGTAAATAATCGTCAGTCGCAGCCTTATATACAGTTGGAAGATAATTAATTACACCAAGCTAATGCAGTGTAATTCAACCTTCATGAAGTTCCTAATATTCAGTTTTTCAACTGTTTCAGAGAGGTGTTTATTGTCATTTTGGTAGCTGTAGTTGTGTTGTGTTGTACTGGTTATGTTTCTAATATATCGTGAACAATGATATTTCAATATGCAAGAAGAGCACCAAGGACCAAACTACATTTTTAAACAAAATTCAATCATTGTTTCTCGAAAGGCAGTCTGCTTTCTACAGTCTGATGCAAAGCGATACTATTAAATTATGGAAAACAAAATTGTATGTTTAAAAAATAAAGTGTTCAGCTCCTCATTAGCAGTCCTTCCCATGTGCTTTTGTAGCTTCAGAGTTAAGTGTGTGTTACCTCCAATCTACTCTCCATTAAAAGTAATGGAGCCCAGAGATATCCCAGAGATTACGCCTCCAACTCTCTTGGCGCTCTCCACCGCAAGTTCAAGAGTTCACAATCTAACTGTGGGCTCTCTATGCACATGCATATATTACCCCCCTGCGCCCGCCACCCCCCACCCCCTTCCCTTCAAGTGCATTGAGCGCCAGTCAAGCTGCTCCCTTTGCAGTTGCCGTGTGGGGTGGAGGAGTGCTGGATGCGGTTTCAGAGGTGTGTTGCACCCTCAGATACACCTCAGCAGTCTCCTGTAAGGAGTGACTCCTCAAGATGCAAGAGGAGGGTCATTCCGCCTTCGAGATTCACCCTCTTCCTCTACCCTCTCTCTCTTTTCTCACTACAGACGAGTGAATCAGCTCCACTGAAATAGCCCTTGATCTGCCTACACAGCTTTCATTTAAGAGCTAGCAGAGAAAAACAGAGAGGGAGATTTATGTCACTGTGAAGTAGAATATAAGCCTCAGAGTTAGTTATACTAAGTGATTATGAGGTTACATTTCAATTATTTTTACATGTCCCTGATGTTGTAAAATGAATTGCACGTTATAAAACGAGTTCGATTAATTACATGGTGTCGTGTAAGAGTGGTGAGCACTTGCCAAATATCAAGATTACCCACCGGGAAGTGAGTGAATCTTGTTGACAGCCTCATAGCCCCGAGAGAGGCAGCAGTGTAAAATGGAGAGGATATTAAAAGCTTCAAAAGTAGGATTCTGTATTGAGAACTGATCCCAAAATCCCTTCTCTCGAACCCATCTGCTTTTCTGCTTGTCTTGACCCGACACTCTCATTCTCAGCTCTTTTCTGCTCCGGCGTCTTGTCCGGGTTGAGCACCACCTCACAGCTCTTGCACTGCAGGTGGCCACTATAAAGCAAAGGGACCAGAGTCATAATGAAGGCAGGAACTCAAAGATCCAAACCCTGCTCATGTCTCTAATGAGTTTAGCTCAAAGGCTGCGTTCACACTGCAGTGTCCTAATTCTGATTTTTCCCACCCTTTGTGGCACAGATATGAGATGGTTTTAGTGAATAAGGAAACACATAGAATCTAATATTTAGTTTCAGATGAATATGACCCCAAAACCTGTTGTTTGCTGATTTCAGCTCAGCATTCAACAGCGTCTCCCCCATGAAACTGATTCGTTAACTCAACACTGTATGTGAGTATCACACATTGCAACTGGGTGTTGGACTTCCTCACAAACAGACCCCAGACAGTTCGGATTGGTGGTCACACCTCCTCCACTCTAGTGCTCAACACTGGAGCCCCTCAGGGCTGTGTGCTCAGCCCCCTCCTGTTCACGCTATACACCCATGACTGCATCTCCCGACATGGAGACAACTCTGCACAGCGGTGCACAGAAAACAACCTACTGCTCAACGTCACCAAAACCGAAGAGCTGATTGTTGATTTCAGGTGAAAAAAGAGGCAAAGAAACACACCACTATTTACATCAGAGGAGCTGAGGTGGAGCAGGTGAACAGTTTTAGCTTCCTTGGAATCAACATCACAGAAACCTGTCAAGGTCACCACATACAAGAAGATAATTGGTACTCAGCTACCCAGCATCAGTCATATTGGTTAGGTGAAGTGTCTGCGCAGAGCCCAAAGGATCTTAAAATACAGCACCCCTGGTCACCCTACTTCTTCTCAGTACTTCATCATACAAATTTGTTTTTTTTTTATTTGTATGACTCATTAATCCATTTGTATTTTGTTTTTTAAAAGCAATATAAAAGGATCTATATCTAAATTCCATTCTATAACAGTGTGTTATAACCTTGAATCCTCCAATATGACATATATTGTATCTGTTTTGCTGCTGAATAATTGAATAACTGGCGTCTTGCTCGCAGATAGTTTCAGCTTTATGCGCGGACGATATGAGTTATCCCCCTTGAAAACATTTTGCCTCCACCCTAATGCGATGGATTGTAATGGAATTTAATTTGACCTTCTCAAAACACAGAAAGTTTACATTTGAGCCATCCATCCA